GGCGCGGCCCCGAGGATTGCGATCCCGTTGCCAGTCCCGGTCTGGTGCGGGCGCGACACTGAGGGTTGCGATCCGTTGCCGGACACGACAAAAAGGAAAAAAAAAAAAAGAAATTAGAAGACTGAATGATTGCAGGAATATGGAGCGAGGAATAGTTCATGTTCCTCCTGGCCACAAGGCATTGGATAGTGTCTCTACAAAGATTATGCCTTATTACTAAAGCTAAATTAGCTCTAGAGTAAAGCAGCACCTCAACTAAGTTTAAAAGCAAGTTTTGAAAGGATCAAACTGCTCTTTAAGAAACAACTGCATGCCAGAAAAAAAGCCAACCCTCTTTAAGGGAACGCAGCAAAATTTAGTACTCCACAGTGCAAAGTTACAATGGCTGACATCCAATCAAAAGTTACCAAGCATCCAAGAAAGCAGAAAAACTTGACCTATAACTAGGAGAAAACTGACTATAGAAATAGACCCAGAAGTAAGAAAAATGGTAAATTTAGCAGGCAAAAACCATAAACCAGTTATTATAATATTAAAAATATCTTCAAGAACATCAAGTAAAACATGAATATAATGAGAGAAATATGAGATAGTTTAAAAGAAGACCCAAATGGAATTTGTTGAAATGAAAAATATGGTATTAACAGCTGATTAGAAACCACAGAAGGGGGCCGGCCCGTGTCTCACTCGGGAGAGTGTGGTGCTGATAACACCAAGGCCACGGGTTCGGATCCCATATAGGGATGGCCGGTTGGCTCACTGGCTGAGCGTGGTGTTGACAACACCAAGTCAAGGGTTAAGATCCCCTTACCGGTCATCTTTTAGAAAAAAAAAAAAAAACACAGAAGAAAGGATCAATGAAAAAACATTGGGAGCCAGCCCGTGGCTCACTTGGGAGAGTATGGTGCTGATAACACCAAGGCCACGGGTTCAGATCCCCTTACTGGTCATCTTTTAAAGAAAAAAAAAAAGAAAAAGAAAAAACATTGGAAATTATGAAGCACAAACAAAAAAAAAAGGGAAAAAAAAAACCAGATCCTCAGTGAACTGCAGGATAATATCAGATCA